CTGCTGTGATTTTGATGAGTTTACCTTTGTATGTTACTTGTTTTTTCTTTCATACAGCCTTCAATATTCTTTCCTTAGTTTCTGAACTTGTTGTTTTAATGATGATATGTCGTGGGGTAGTTCTATTTTGATCTGGTCTGTTTGGTGTCCTGGAAGCCTCTTGCATCTGTATGGGAATATCTTTCTCTAGATTTGGGAAATTTTCCATTATTATTTTGTTAAATATATTACGCATTCCCTTTGCTTGCACCTCTTCTCCTTCTTCGATGCCTATGATTCTCAAGTTTTGTCTTTTGATGGAATTGGTGAGTTCTTGCATTTTCTTTTTACAGGTCTTGAGTTGTTTAATTAATAGTTCTTTGGTTTTTCCTTTAATTACCATTTCATCTTCAAGTTCTGACATTCTGTCTTCTGTTTGTTCTATTCTGGTGGATTGGCCTCCCTTATTTTTTCAGGTCTGTTTCATTCTTTTTTCTGAGGTTTTCTATATCCTGTGTAGTTTCCTCTTTAATGTTGTCTATTTTTGTCCTGAGTTCATTTATCCATTTATTCATTGTGTTCTCTCTTTCACTTTGGTGTTTATACAGTGCTTCTGTGGTTTTCTTTATTTCTTCTTTTGCTTTTTCAAATCCTCTGTTTTTGTTGTCTTGGAATTTCTTGAGTGTCTCATGTACATTTTGGTTGACCCTATCCAGTATCATCTCTATAAAATTCTCATTGAGTACCTGTAATATGTCTTCTTTTAAATTATTCTTGTGGGCTTCATTGGGTCCTTTTGCATAATTTATCTTCATTTTGTTGTAGTCTGGATCTGAGTATCTGTTTTCTTCATTCCCCTCTGGTTCTGGTACTAATTTTTTGCTGTCGGGAAACTGGTCTCCCTGTTTTTTTCTGTCTTCCCGTCACTGTCTTTGGTGTTGTTACTGTCCCTGTACTGTGTGCAATTAAGTATTTTCTAGCTTGTAATAATAACAATATTAATATTTACAATGGAAGGGTGAGCAGAGATGGAAAGCAAGAAGTTCAAGGAAAGGGAAAAGCAAAAACAGATGAGAAGGAGAAAACAGAACAAGGAATCAGACAAGAATATTTCAAAGGTATAAACAGGGAGCGTTAGTGTACTAATTGACAGTAAGCTGAACAGGCATTAAAGAGAGAGAGGATTGAAAACAAAAAATAAAAAAAAGATAATAAAAATAAAAAATAGGTAAATGAAAGAAATATCTATATATAAAAATAAATAAAATTAAATAAAATGAAAATTAGAAATTTTTTTTTAAAAAGCCAAAAAGCCAAAACACCAAAAAACCTCCAAGTTCAAATGCAATGACGTTTCAGTCTTAATAATTTGGGTGTCCGTCTCAATCTCCAATCCTGGCGATGGTGCCTCAGATGTTCTGTCTCATCAAAGGGGACGCATAAAGTAGAACAAAACTACACACACACACACACACACACACACACACACACAGAAAAACCCCACCAAGTGTCCCAAGTTCAAATGCAATACAGTTTCAGTAAGTTTTTCAGCATGCAGGTGTAATTCGGTTGTTCTCTCATCAAAGGTAGGGAGGAAAAAAAAAACACAAAAAAGAGTCTGGAGACAGTTCTGAGAATTGTATCTGCAGCTGTGGCTTGCCTGCCCACTGCTTTCAGCCTGCTGTTGCTGGAGGTGTTATTTATGCAGATCTCTGGGGTGAGCTTAGCACTAACATGGCCCTGCAGGTGTTGTTTACTCAGAGTTTTCCTGTGAGCCTCTGCTACAAGCTTTCCCCTTTCCAAGCACTGGGAAAGGTGACACTGCACCCACATTCTCAGGCCCGCATGTTTATTTACAGTTCATGAGGGAAGTGGGTCTTCCCCCCTCTCCTGTGCAGTTTTCCTCCCACCACCACTTTTGCAGGCTTTCCTGCTCCTGATTACTGGGCAGTGCTGCTGCTCCTGCCAACCGCCATATTTGTTTACAGCTCAGGTGGGAACTGGGTCTTCCCTCCTCTCCTGTGTTTTTGGTCACTGTCCCAATTCCTGGCACAAACCTCATAAAACTGATAGTATTTCCTGAGCATCAAGAGTACATTTTGATATTTCCAAGCATAGCTGAGTTTATGCTGATGAAAGGACTTATTAGGAGGTGGGGCAGGTGGAGAGACTCACAATAATTCAAGATGGCGGTTGGCACTGGAAAACCCAACCAGGTTATTAGAGGGTTAGAACTTTCAAATCCAGCTCCAACCTCTGTGGAGAGAGAGAAGTTGGAGACTGAATTCAGTCACCAACGGTCAATGATTTAAGCAATCACACCTATATTAGGAAACCTCAGTAAAAGTCAGAAAATAAGCTTAGTGGAACTTTTGAGTTGATGAATTTAACAGTGTGCTGGGATGGTGGTGTGCAGAAGGCAGCCAGAAGCTCTTTGCCCTGTCCTTTCTTCCATTTGTTTGTCTCTGAGTTGAAACTGGAAGTATAGTTGTTTCCTGAGTTGTGAGTCATTCTACCAAATTACCAGAACTGAGATGGTCACGGGAATCACTATGTTTTAGTCAGCATGGAGGAAATGCCAGTTGCCTGGAATCCCACATGGGGCTGGAAAGTGAAGATATGGCAGTCTTGCTTGACTGAGCACTTAAAATATAGGGTTTGCTGTGACTTTAGGTAATTAGTGTCAGAACCAACTTCCTCCCCCAATCTGGTATTGGAGAACTGAGAATAGATAATCAGTTTTGTTTGGAAAATCGAACAAGGTCTCAACATGAACATCTATGGTATTCTTGTCAAAAGGGCCTGTTTTGAATCAATTCAGGAAGGACATTCTACAAAATAACTGGCCTGTACTCTTCAAAAATATCTAAATCAAGAAAGATAATGAAACATTTAGTAAAAATATGTCTCCAACCTATTAAACCATTAAAAAATAGTAAACATTTATTACTTATATACATGAGATAGGAAAAGAAAGGGAGACAGTGGTGGGGAGAGGAAGAGGGACAGAAAGAGGCAGAGGAGGAGAGAGAGGAGAGACAGGTAGGAAATAATAAAAAAATGGGGCAAAAGATAAACAAGCAGAGAATACAGAGAAGGGGTATATGGAAATTCCTTATACTCATCTTGCAAGTTTTCTGTGAACTTTAAATTATATCAAAATAACAATGACAGAAAACTAAAAATGAAAGAGCACAGAGGCCTTGTCAAGTAAGGCTCATTTTCTCCCACAGAATGGCATTTTTAAGATAAGGCCTAAAAGAGGGAGGGGGTATGGCTAAAGTGGTTCAGTGCCTGCCAAGAAAACAGGAGGCCATGAGTTCAAATCCAAGTACTGGCCCTTCCCCAGAAAGAGGTAACACCCCAAAGTAATGAGAACACTTAACCAGCACAAATACAGACGTTCACAAACTGTTCCCCAGGGCACAGTTACCACATGAGAGATTAGTAGATTTATCTAAAACAAAACAATTGCTAGTGTTGTTTTATTAAAATTTAATTTCCAAAAAATTCAAAAGTTCATTTGAGACAGTTCATATTCCTTTAGGAAAGTGTCTTGACAAATATTTGAGGTAGAAAGTGAGACCTGAAGGTGAGAGGAGGTGTGGATTTGTTTCTCTGGAAAGAGAATGAGAGGGAAGAAGTAGAGCAGAAGGAATAGTAACCAAACGGTGATGGAAGCTGTGGTGTGACTTCCCTAACACCATCTATGTTCTCTCTCTAGAAATCATGTACACAGGAAGTGACTACCCTGCAGAAACAGGAATCCGAGTTTCACATTCCAGTTAATTTGGGCAAGGTGGGTGTGTTTTAATAAATTAAGTCCTTACAACATAGAAAATCTTGGAGAGGTTTAAAACTTTGTTAGGATATGGAACAAAAGTTCAAGCCCATCTCATGTAGGTATTGACTGATACATAGTTTTTCATTTAGACGAGAGACACCAAAACACATGATGTGTCTTACTATTATGACAATATATCTTATTATTAAGTTAAAGTCTTCTCATGCATGTTAATATTTTATCTTCTTATTAATTTATGTTCTGATATCTTATTATTAATAAGTGCCCTGCACATTCAAGAAGTTGCATGAAGTCCAGGCCTAGTGGTGCACATCTGTAATCCTAGCTACTTTGCAGGAGGTGTAAGTAGGAGAATCACAGTCCAAGGTCAGCCCTGGGCAAAAACATCAAGACCCTATCTGAAAAGCAGCAAAGGTAAAAAGGCTTCAGAGGTGGGGTGGCTCAAGTGGTAGAGTTCCTATCTTGCAAGCACAAGGCCCTGAGTTCAAACCCTAGTACACCAAAGGAAGAAGGGAGGAACCAGAGGAAAGAGAGACCGAGAGTAAAGTCAAAACTTTAAAGAGAGAGAGAGAGAGAGGGAAAGGAAGAAAGAGACAGAAAGAAGAAAGAAGGACTGATTGGCTGATTCAGGAGATGAAAAGAAGAAACATCAATCAGTGTACCCATAGCACTTACTAACTAAGCATATGGATGGATAATGTTTGTGATCTTTAGAATCACTGATCGAAGCTGAGGTTCTTATCTTACACTTTAAATAGGCAAATGTGATATTTTATCAGTAATAAGATAACTGTATTTTCAAATGTGTCATTATATATCATTTTCTGTTATAAAGTTTTAAAAACTGAATCAAATACTGATAATGTCTTACAACTAATATATCTGTGAAGCTATGTTTTTAATTCTCAGCTTTAATTTGAATGTTATATTTCATGGCCACCTCTAGGTTTTTTGCCATTATAACCTTTAACAGTGCGCTGTGGCCAAATACTGCTATAGAATGTCACTTTTCCAGATGTATGGTTAAAGAGGCAGGGCTTAGAAAACATTAGGATGTATTTCACATTCTGAAGACTTTCACCAAAGGCTACGTATGAGACACTATTTAGATTATTCAAATGATGTGGGAGGCTGAGTGATGAATAATCCGTTAGCCAACTGACTTCCACTGCTAATACCAGTGTAAATTAGATCACAATGTAAATTAGAACTAAGATCAGCCCCACAATTCAGGATGAAATTCTTGGATGTGAATAACTTCTGTGTGGCCACTAGAAACACAGAGCAAGAGTGCAAGGGTGAAGCAGCCATAAAGCAGAATCGACAGGCAAAGAGGCTTCACCCTGGGAGCAGTGAAAATAAAGGACACTAACTGCTCTAGACAGCAGTACAAGAATGAAACCATTGTCAACTGCAAAACAAAAAAATACACTGTCAAAACTTTAAAGACAGTAAGAAGGTTTAATAAAATGCATGTGCATGAAGACTGGTCAGGGCTGGAGACACGTAGGACCACGCAGATAAATGAAGGCTTTCTCAGCAAAGATGAAGAATATTTATGGTCCTACTGCAATTGGGAATATGGTGCCATTGAAAAGTGGAAACTCAGCTGTCACCTAAGATAGGAAGGGAATTCTGCAAACTTGGCAGTAATCCTTCAGCTGTGTCCTTAATCCCCCTCTTGAGTCTGCTACAGTGCAACGTCACTACAGCACTCAAAGGGGTCAGGAGATTGCTCCATGAAGACCTGTGAATTTTTCAGAGAATCAGAATCAAAAAACTACTTACACAGAGTGCATTCATAAAATGTGTCTCAGGAGTTAACCCTACCTAAGCTATTCTAGCTCACAACCCTGCCTCTCAGTGTTCCTCACCAGGATCATTCTTCATTCACCCACTTCACACCTGAGTCATCCTCCTCTTTTCACCTTACTTCCATCTCCTATTACCTGTCATGATCTGTGGATTTGACTTCTTCATCTGAAATCTACTCCTTCTTTTTGATCTTTCAGGCCAGTCCAGGTCAGGCCCTCGCTTCTCATACTTGGACTATTAAAATAACATTTTATCCTCCCAGCATCTAGTGTTTTTCCTTATAACTCATTTTATCACTGAGAAAGATGAAAATGTACCTTTCTAAAGCACAGTTTAAATCATACTAGTAACTCTTCAAAACTTCTTCAGTTACTCCTCCTGGCTCTCAATCAAATATATATTTCCTGGCTTGGCACTCAAGACCCAAGTAATTTGCTAGCTGGGCACCCACAGCCCTTCAGTGTCTATTCTGATTCTGATGTACACATTTCCACAGTTCAACCTTCTCGACTCTTCTTCAAACTTCCCTTTATATCTGGATCTCGCCAGGCACACGTCTTTTTCATTCAAAGTTTACATATTCTTCAATAACTGCCTCCTCAACAAACATTGCTTCCTCAACAAAACCTTTCTCCATCACCCTGACGTGATGTCACATCCCGTTTCTCTAATCCTTGGCTGTGAGGACAGCTCCATAAAATTTGCAGAAGGTCATGTAGAAATAGCACAGATATGGAAATGTATAGTCATCAGATAAAAAGATGACAGAATACTCTACGAGATGAATTATCTTCACATTGCCATTAAGGAAAGAACAAGGTACGATTTCCCACAGGTTTATATCCTCGACCAAATCACCAGGGAAGGAGCATGGCATTTGAAAGGTAGGAATTCTAACTGTACATTTAAATAAGTATGAATTATTACACCTCAGTTTTAAAATCCAAAATCCACATTATCCACAATTGCCGTCCAATGCCCTAGCCATATCACCCTCAACTCTGCCTGCCTCTGCTACCTCTGTCCCCTACTTACCTCATACGCATCTTTGATGTTCAGGGGCTCACCCAGTGCTGCCACATGCCCCACAATGCCTTTGTTCCACTCTAGGCATATACAATTGTTGGAAGCTTCTTCTAGTGTTGAACCTTCAGCAACATCAAAGAGGCGGCTGATCAGAAACTTGTCATTAGAGCTGTCCTCACAGACAAGGAACAGGGAATAGTGGTCAGCAGAGATAAGTCCGTGGATATGCAAGAAAATTTTGTGACACAAGGCTGTGACATCCAAATGACTAGAAATGTCTTTCACTAATTCCAAGAGTCTTGAGCACTGGTCCCCTTCATTACTATCAAACCTTGTGGGGGTTAGAGGCATCTGCTCCTTCTTTTCTGAGTCCAAAAGGAAGCTCACAGTTCCCTCAGAATCCTTGACCACAATGGGTCTAAGGGGCCAGTCAAACTCTGAGGCAGAAATTTTCCTGGTTGGTGTACCAGGGGCACTGCTCTCTGCATGAGGACTCTGTGGCAAAGGGCAAGGACAAGACTTGGTGTGGCTTTGAACGCCTTCCTTGCACACAGGGATGGAGTGAACTCTCTCAGCAAACCATGCATTGACCATTTCTCTGCAGAACAGAACATGCAGACACATAAGTTACTTGAGGAAGAAGAGTCTACCCTGAAAGCTGCCCAAAATCCTTCTAGTGCAGGGGTATAGTCACTCTCCATACTTAGGAGCTGTAGAAAAATAACATTATCATCTCGGCAGACGGCAATTTGTTTATCCAACAAATTTTAAAATGCATTTAGCCTTTGTTTAAAGTTCCTTTTCCATGTGGCAAAGGAAATACAAGAGCACTCACCACAGTACTGTTTCTACAGCAAAGCTAAGCAGCAATATAATACCACTAAAAGATGCTGACAGATACATCATGGTGCATTTATACAGTGAGAAAAACAACGGTTATAGGTACCAAGTGGTATAGGGTGTGCAAGGCCCTGGGTTCATGTGAACATGTCTGATGTAAGGGTATAAAGGAACAGATGGGATTCAAGAAACCTGGATGGAATTTTTGCTTGACGGGTTTTAGTTTTTTTCAGATAGAGTCTCAGTATGTATACCAGGCTGGCTTAGAACTTTCAGCCCTCCTGCCTTGATCTCCTGAGTGCTGAGATTACAGGAGTTAGTGGCCTGCTGGTAGCTCTGGCCAAACAAATCACTTCTATGGCTTAAGGATTGGATTCGTATTTACCCTTCTCTTCCTTGAAGCTAGGTGATTTTGTAACTTTACCCAATTACTGATATTAGAGGGAGAACATTTTACTTAATCCTGGTGAGGCAGTCATTAACAAACCAACTTCTAAATTATGATGCTAGGAATTCCAAGATGGCGGCTAGAGGTAGGAAGCAGAAAGCGACCCTCCTATAGTGAAATCTTGGAGAGACGCTGGAGACACACTTTGCAGGCATAATCACCGAGAAAAGGCATAACTTTGACCCCTCCACATCTCCAGGTGGCACAGAGAATCTCCACTTCACGTTAAACGGAGAACCGAGGAGGCCCCCCGGGGCCGCCAGTGGCCGGCGCCCATACGGCTTGGGAAGACGCGGACCAGGTGAGCTTCGCGGTACCACGGTAGCCCCACAGACAAGCCTGGGCCAGAGCAGCATAGCCCCCTGGACAGACTGACCTCCACCCGGGAAAAAAAGATAAACTGAGTACTAAGCAATAAGAACAGTTAAGACACGCTGGAAAGAGGGTGGGGCGCCCTGAGCGCTGAAGATTGGGGGAAGGGAACCCTTCCTGGGACTGTAAATAAACGAGCCGGGCAGGCCGGAGAGGCTCTGGCGGGAGCGGGGCGCGCCAGCAACCAGGAGCGGGACGCTTGTGAGAGGAGGGAAGACCCACTTCCCACGTGAACTGTAAATAAACACGCAGGCCTGACAACGCGGGGCAGTGTCACCTTTCCCAGTGCTTGGAAAGGGAAAGCCTGTAGCAGAGGCTCCGCACAGGAGAACTCTGAGCAAACAAAGCCTGTGGGACCAGGTGAGTGCTAAGCTCACCCCAGAGATCTGCATAAATAACGCCAGCTACAGGCTGAGAGCAGCAGGCAGGCAAGCCACAGTTGCAGATACCACTCTCAGAACTGCTCCAGACGCTTTTTTTTCTTTTTCTCCCTACCTTTGATGAGAGAACAACCGAATTACACCTGCAAGCCGAAAAACTTACTGAAACTGTATTGCATTTGAACTGGGGACACTTGGTGGGGCTTTTTTTTTTTTTTCTTCTGTGTGTGTGTGTGAGTGTAGTTTTGTTCTACTTTATGCATCCCCTTTGATGAGACAACTACAGAACAACATCTGAGGCACCAACTCCAGGACTGGAGATTGAGACGGACATCCAAATTATTAAGACTGAAATTGCATTGCATATAAACTTGGAAGTTTTTTGGTTTTTTTTTTAATTTTCTATTTTCCATTTTATTTTAATTCATTTTATAAATAGATATTACTTTCATATACTTATTTTTTATTTTTTTATCTTTGATTTTCAATCCTCTCTCTGTCACTCTATTGTCTGTTCAGCTTACTGTCGATTAGTACACTAACACTCCCTGTTTATACCTTTGAAACTCTCTTGTCTGATACCTTGTTCTGCTTTCTCCCTCTTGTCTGTATATTTGTTTTCCCCTTTTCTTTAACTTCTTGCTTTCCATCTCAGCTCACTCTTCCATTCTCAATATTACCATTGTTATTATTACAAGCTAGAAAATACTTAATTACACACAGTACAGGGACAGTAACAACACCAAGGACAATGACGGAAGACAGAAAAAACAAGGAAACCAGTTTCCCCACAGCAAAAAATTAGTACAGGAACCAGAGGGGAATGAAGAGAACAGAAACTCAGAGCCAGACTCCAACAAAATGAAGATAAACTATGCCAAAGGACCCAATGAAGCCTACAAGAATAATTTAAAAGAAGACATACTACAAGTACTCAATGAGAATTTTATAGAGATGATACTGGATAGGGTCAACCAAAATGTACAGGAGACACTCAAGAAATTCCAAGACAATAAAAATAGAGAATTTGAAAAAGCAAAAGAAGAAATAAAGGAAACCATAGAAGCACTGTATAAACACCAAAGTGAAAGAGAGAACACAATGAATAAATGGATAAATGAACTCAGGACAAAAATAGACAACAATAAAGAAGAAAACAGCCAGGATATGGAAAACCTCAGAAAAAAGAACGAAACAGAACTGCAAAACAAAACGGAAGGCCAATCCAGCAGAATAGAACAAACAGAAGACAGAATCTCAGAACTTGAAGATGAAATGGTAATTAAAGGAAAAACTGAAGAACTATTAATTAAACAACTCAAGACCTGTGAAAAGAAAATGCAAGAACTCACTGACTCCATCAAAAGACCAAACTTGAGAATCATGGGCATCGAAGAAGGAGAAGAGGTGCAAGCGAAGGGAATGCGTAATATATTCAACAAAATAATAACGGAAAATTTCCCAAATCTAGAGAAAGATATTCCCATACAATGCAAGAGGCCTCCAGGACACCAAACAGACCAGATCAAAATAGAACTACTCCACGACATATCATCATTAAAACAACAAGTTCAGAAACTAAGGAAAGAATATTGAAGGCTGTAAGAGAGAAAAAACAAGTAACATACAAAGGTAAACCCATCAAAATCACAGCAGACTTCTCAACAGAAACATTAAAAGCAAGAAGAGCGTGGGGTGAGATCTTCCGGGCACTGAATGAAAATAACTTCAACCCCAGGATACTCTACCCAGCAAAGCTATCATTCAAAATAGATGGAGCAATAAAAGTCTTCCATGATAAGCAGAAACTAAAACAATATGTGACCACAAAGCCACCATTACAAAAGATTCTGCAAGGGATCCTGCACACAGAAAGTGACACCCAACTTAACCATGAAAAGGCAGGCAGCACCAAACCACAGGATAAGAAAAAGCAAGACAGTAGAGAGTAACATCAAGTTAGGTACACACAATCAAACCTTCAAACAACTAAGATAACTAAATGGCAGGAATCACCACATACCTATCAGTACTAACACTTAATGTTAATGGACTTAATTCACCCATCAAAAGACACCGTTTGACAAAATGGATTAAAAAAGAAGATCCAACAATTTGTTGCTTACAGGAGACTCATCTCACCGACAGAAATAAGCATATGCTTAGGATGAAAGGCTGGAAGAAGATTTACCAAGCCAATGGCCCCCGAAAACAAGCAGGAGTAGCAATACTTATCTCTGACAAAGTAGACTTCAAACCTACATTGATCAAACGAGATAAAGAAGGACATTCCATACTAATAAAAGGGGAAATAGACCAAAAGGAAATAATAATCATCAATCTGTATGCACCCAATGTCAACGCACCCAATTTCATCAAACATACCCTGAAAGACCTAAAAGCATATATAAACGCCAACACAGTGGTTGTGGGAGACTTTAACACTCCATTATCATCAATAGATAGGTCATCCAAACAAAAACTCAATAAAGAAATCCAAGATCTAAAATATGCAATAGATCAAGTGGACCTAGTAGATGTCTACAGAACATTTCATCCAACCTCTACACAATATACATTCTTCTCAGCAGCCCATGGAACCTTCTCCAAAATAGATCATATCCTAGGGCACAAAGCAAGCCTCAGCAAATATAAGAAAATAGAAATAATACCATGCATACTATCTGACCACAATGCAGTAAAAGTAGAACTCAACAACAAAAGTAAAGACAAAAAACATGCAAACAGCTGGAAACTAAATAACTCATTACTTAATGAAGAATGGATCATCGATGCAATAAAAGAGGAAATTAAAAAGTTCCTGGAAGTCAATGAAAATGAAAACACAACCTACCGGAACCTATGGGACACAGCTAAGGCAGTCTTGAGAGGAAAGTTTATAGCCATGAGTGCATATATTAAAAAGATTGAAAGATCCCAAATCAATGACCTAATGATACATCTCAAACTCCTAGAAAAACAAGAACAAGCAAATCCCAAAACAAATAGAAGGAGAGAAATAATAAAAATAAGAGCTGAAATCAACGAAATAGAAACCAAAAAAACCATACAAAGAATTAATGAAACAAAAAGTTGGTTCTTTGAAAAAATAAACAAGATCGATAGACCCCTGGCAAACCTGACTAAAATGAGGAGAGAAAAAACCCAAATTAGTAGAATCAGGAATGCAAAAGGGGAGATAACAACAAACACCATGGAAGTCCAGGAAATCATCAGAGACTACTTTGAGAACCTATATTCAAATAAATTTGAAAATCTAAAAGAAATGGACAGATTTCTAGATACATATGATCATCCAAAACTGAACCAAGAGGAAATTAATCACCTGAATAGACCTATAACACAAAATGAAATTGAAGCAGCAATCAAGAGTCTCCCCAAAAAGAAAAGTCCAGGACCTGATGGATTCTCTGCTGAATTCTATCAGACCTTTAAAGAAGAACTGATACCAACCCTCCTTAAACTGTTCCATGAAATAGAAAGGGAAGGAAAACTGCCAAACACATTTTATGAAGCCAGTATTACACTTATCCCAAA